GGTTCAACATTCAAGAACAAAGCATATTGATGTCCGCCATCACTTCATAAGAGATCACCAACAAAAAGAGGACATTTGCATTGAGAGTGTGGGCACCGAAGATCAACTTGCCGATATCTTCACCACGGCACTTGATGAAAAGAGGTTTTGCAAGCTAAGGAATGAATTGATCATACTTGACTTCTCTAATATGTGTTGATGCACCCCCAATTTATATGACATGTCTCTCCTTCGAGCAATCTAAGGTAAAAGTTGATTGGCATGACATACATCCTTACTAAGGACATGATTAGCGCATCTAGACATATTTCACATTTGAATAGGCTCATTCATGAAAATCAAATGAATTTGATGCTTGTAATGACATTGTAAGGGGCAAACAAATAAGATGACATTGTAAGGGGATCAATCAAAATTGCACACAAGTAGGAGGTGCAAGCTCATAAACTTGTATGATGCATTTGAATGTGCATTTTATATATTTGCTTGCATGGTACAGGTTCTTAATTTCAATATCTGCATAGGCTAAAGTAACTAGACATATGTTCATTTTATGGAAACTAGACCCTTGTTTGTAATATTGATCTCATGGGGTATTCTAGTTTTTATGTATGTCTAGTTACTAATGGTGCTAAGGATGGTATATTGGTGCACTCCGATTGGTATCACGCTTCAAAGGTCCATCTCTTATACCTTAGCATCATATGGTAGAAATTGTCTCCTATATTTCCTATCTAAGCATATGTGCAAGCTACAATCCAAACTCTTAGCACATATGTAGTGGGGGCATTTACTACCATTTGGAGTTTATGAAACTTGTCCATATTCTTTTACACATGGTAAATATGCTTGGGCAAGCAACATGGATTCAATTAAATTACAATTCATATCTTTGTGAAAGGGTTGTCATCAATTACCAAAAAAGGGGAGATTGAAAACTCTAGTTTGGTTTTGGTTAATTGATGAAACCCTAAGTGCTAACCTAGTTTATCAAAGTGATTGTGAGATAGGTAGCACTACTTCAAGTGATGAAGCAATGGCGAAGATCATGACGATGGTGATGATCAAATACTTGAACTTGGAAAAGAAGAAAGAGAAAAACAAAAGGTTTAAGGCAAAGATATAAATAGTAGGAGCCATTTTATTTTAGTGATCGAGACACTTAACGAGTGTGATCACATTTAGGATCGATAGCCGTACTATTAAGAGGGGTGAAACTCGTATCGAAATGCGGTTATCAAAGTGCCACTAGATGCTCTAACTCATTACATATGCATTTAGGATCTAGTGGAGTGCTAACACCCTTGAAAATGTTTGTAAAAATATGCTAACACATGTGCATAAGGTGATACACTTGGTGGTTGGCATATTTGAGTAAGGGTTAGAAACTTCACTGGCGGAGTGTCCACCCGTAGAGTACGGACAGTCCGACGGTGCCACCGACGCCCTATATAGAAAAGACAGGGGTTCACAGAGTGACCGGACGCTGGTGGTGCAGTGACCGGACGCTTAGGTCTAGCGTCTGGTCAGTGACAGCAGAAAGCACACTGTCTCCGTCTTATGACCGGACGCTAGAGTGTAAACTGACCAGACGCTCATGGTCGAGTCTGGTTAGTACTGGCGTACGCTGATGTGAGGCACACAGAGGAAACGTTGAGTGACCGGACGCAGGGTGTGTCCGGTCGGTTATGAAATGTCGCGTTTGGAACCTTACTGAAAACGACCGGATGCTGAGATCCAGCGTCCGGTCACTTTCTAACTGACGAGTCCGGTCATCACTTGACCGTTGAAATTGGGCGATCGGCGTTTGAAGCCGATGACACGTGGCGCACATCGCACGACCGGACGTTGAGGTCCAGCGTCCGGTCAATATGACCGGAGCGTCCGGTCGGCCCGTATTCAGTGCAGTGAGGAGCCCAACGGCTCTATTTCGTGAGGGCCTCTATTTAAGCCCCATGGCCGGCTCAAGATCACTCTCTTGGCCATTTGCATTGACATAGCAATCTTGTGAGCTTAGCCAAAGCCCTCCCACTCATCTCCATCATTGATTCGTCATCTTTGTGAGATTGTAAGAGAATACAAGTACATTGCTTGAGTAATTGCATCTAGAGGCACTTGGTATTCGTGTTTAGCTGCGGATTTCGCTTGTTGCTCTGGGTGGTTGCCACCACCTAGAAGGCTTGGTGCAGCGGTGGAGGATTGGCACGAGTTGGTGATTGTTCGTGGCCATCTTCGGTGATTGTAAGGGGATTTGTACCTTCCCCGGCGGAGCGCCAAAAGGTAACTCTAGTGGATTGCTCGTGTCATTGAGTTACCTCACTTGTGGGTAGGTTCTTGCGGTGTCCAATCGTGTGGACGAGGTTTGTGCAACACCTCTTAGCCGTCGAACCACCAAGTGTTGGTTGACACAACGAGGACGTAGCGTGTTGGCAAGCACGTGAACATCGGGAGAAAATCGGTTGTCTCTTGCTATTTGGCATTCTCTCGGTGATTGATTTTATATTTATCTTGTGATTGGTTCATCCCTCTATACGGCGGTATAATCACGCTACTCACTATTTTATATTCTTGTAAACTAGTTGTGGCAAGCTCTTTAGTGTAATTAGAATTTAGAGCTTGATTTGTTATTTAAGTTCATCTAGTGGAGCTCTTTAGTGCAGCAAGATTGAGAGCTCTTAGTGAGTAGTATCATAGCAAGTTGTGTCTAGTAATCATTACAACTAGAATTATTAGATAGGTGGCTTGCAACCCTCGTAGAGCTAGAGCAAGTTAACATTTCGTTATTTGTCTTACTAATCAACAGCCTGGTCGGGAGGCCGTATCGTATCGTGGATTATTTACTGCTGGCTGGTTTGGTGTGAGAGAAAAACACTGTTCCCAGCTGGAAATTTACGATCGTTTACAAGCAAGCGAACAGGCTGCAAATTGTTCTAGTTGATTTGTAGAATTTTAAATAGGCTATTCCCCACCCTCTAGGCATATTAGGACCTTTTAGCTTTTGACACCACCGCTGGACTCCACTGCTGCCCTACATCGACATCATGGCCAGCTCCTCCGCCAAGCCTATCGATAGTCGGTAACGCCTCTCTACTCTCAATCTCTCTCAGTTTTAGTTCATGTTTTAGGATTTTCTATATCCTAATAACAAGTTTATACCCGCTAGATAAACTCCCAGTGATCCTAAGTTTTTAATAGGTAGCGGTCACTGCGCCGCCGGCTGCGTTGCCGTCGCCATCGTCGTCGTTGGTCGCCTTGAGCCTCGGGCTCGTCCCGGCGATGGTGGCCACCCGGGTGTACCTGTTCCTGGACCCGATGCCGGCGTTGAGACGAAGAGGGAGGAGGAGCGGAACTGCTACTCCGGGTCGTCGTTGCCGCCGTCGGTGCCTGGCCTGGGGCTCGACCTCAACCTGCCTCCGCCGGCCGAGATGGTCATGTAGCATTGGAAAATAGTGATTGTCGCAAAATGGAATTAACAAATGTACTTTGTAAATAGGAAGCACAATTGGTTTGTGTTTGTGTGGCTGCGCCTCCATTGCGTTTTTTTCCTGTGCACTAGCCGATTTGCATCTTCGCAATGCAAGAATTAATCAACGAGCAGATATTTTCTCTCGTACCAGAATTGCAGTGCCAGGGCATCTCCTAAATCCTAACTTCAGCTTGCACAAATTCAACACTCCACAAACATAATTAGGTGCTAATCACGCGGCAAAGTTCAGAATTCGTCGCGCACCTTCCAAAAATCGCAGCCTAGGTGGGTGACGAGTTTGGGGCCCAAAACCAATGTCGCGCGTGTCGTAGAAGCCACCTCCCCGCCGCCCCAGCTTTTGTATAAAATTTCGCGCGTCCGAGACTTCCCTCCCATCTCTCCTCCCAAGCTAAGAAGAAAGGCCGATCGGAGCAGCAGAGCCAAGCACACTGCACGCACGTCGTTAGATTAACCGATCCATGGCGCCAAAAAGCTTGATGTCGCCGCCCGTAAACACCACCAGCAGCGGCGGCGGCGGCGGCGAGCGTGGTGCGGGTGCGGAGCAGCCGAGGCTGCGCGGCGTGCGGAAGCGGCCGTGGGGCCGGTACGCGGCGGAGATCCGCGACCCGGCGCGGAAGGCGCGCGTGTGGCTGGGCACCTTCGACACGCCCCAGCAGGCCGCGAGGGCCTACGACGCCGCCGCGCGCCGGCTCCGCGGGCCACGCGCCACCACCAACTACCCAGCCCCGGCTCCGGTGACGAGCGCGAGTGGCAGCAGCGCCATGGAAGGGTCCTCGTCCTCGTCCTCGTCGACCGGGCGGGATGACTCATCGCTGGCGGCGACAGCGGCAGAGAGAGTGGTGGCCGCGCAGCCGCCGTGCCTGTTCCTGGACCCGAAGCCGACGGCCCCCGCCGCGCCGGTGCTGCGGCGGTTCTTGCCGCCCAAGGGCGAGGAAGAGCGGAGCTGCTGCTCCGCGCGGTGGTCGTCGTCGTCTGCGGGGCAGGTGGGCTTGGGGCTTCTTGACCTCAACCTGCCTCCGCCCGTGGAGATGGTCATGTAGCGACCGAAATGGCCATCATCAGAGGTGTCATCAGTCAGGCAGCTAGCCCTGTGTAATAACAAATGTAAATACACGCAGCTGTTACTGTTAGTGTGTTTTCGTAGCTAGCAGTCTAGGTCTCACTTTTTCTCCGATGATCATGAAAGGCAAGAAGCCAAGATCAAGCAAAATGAATCAATTTTTACTAGCCTCATCTATGCTAAACCTCTGCAGTTCGTTTTTTCCCCTTCGAAAATCAATAATCGATCTCTCATTTGTAGTTGCACACTACTCGCATGACATCCCGAGCATGCAAAGTTTCCAAGTGTCATGATAGATCCGTTCCTTGTACATAAGGTTTGTTTCGACATTCGTCGACACACCTACACATCCCAGGTTAATTTACACGGTACAGTACGTGCCATCCGTTTGTTTGGTACAGCTTATAAACTGTTTATAGTCAAAATAAGCTGAAATCAACAACCAAATGTTATGTTTTCAACAGCTTATTTTGGCCACGCTTATTTCCACGGCTCCCATCTATATAAAAAACAGAAACTTAATCAGACCAACTTATTTTAACCGTTATTTTTACTCTATTTATATAGCTTATCTACGAATCGCTTTCCACGTAAGCCAGACATCATGAGACGGCAAAGAGCATGAACGCGCGGGCGTGGCGCGGGGCCCGGTCAAGTCCGCGTCACGCAAGGTGAGCAGCCGAAGACGCGGCGCGCACGTCCGCCTGTCCTGGCAAGTACCACCGAGACTTCGAGGCAACGCACTCGTGTCGTGTCGGCAGGCAGCGCCGCGCCGGGACCCGAACCCGGCCCGGACGGCGGGAATTTTAAATAAGCGACGCGTGTGTGTGCGGTGCGGGAGGGCACCGTCCAACCCCCTGACAGCGGCGTGACGGCTGCTCCCCGCGATGCGCCTGCCGCCTGCCGCCGCCGACGCCTCCACCAACCACCGCCCCCGGATTTTAAAAAGTCCACACGACCCGGCGGCGCGGCTGTGGGCCGGCGCCGTTCCGGTCCGTGCGCGTGCGGGTGGGGCCGTCGGGGCACTCGCAGTCGCAGCCGCCGCCCTCGCCACGCTACGACGCTGCCTGCCTGGCTGCCCGCCCACCTGCACATATTCCCTCGCGCTGCTTTTCTTTTTTTTTTCTTCTCAAAACCACGACGTCGGTTTGAGTACCGGTGCCTTTCTCTTGAACCCTTGGGCAGATTTTTTTCAGCTGACCTGCCGATCTAGGCATCGGTAGATTGAGCATGCACCGTCCTTGGAAAATACTTCCTCTCTTGCAAATCATAAAATATTTTGGTTTTTCTAGAGTTTATACGCTTAGACGCACACTGTATCTAAATATATAACAAAAACAATAAATCTAAAAAAGCCAAGATGTTCTATAATTTAGAAAGATACAAAATACGAAGTGCATGCTCGGGGAAGAGCTTGCTGCATCGGCTACGGCTACAAGCAAGCAGACCTACTATTAATGTTCTTCTATCTACATAGAGCAAATAAAGACACTTTCAATATATGTGCATTAATTACCTTGTTATATATGCTTTTTATCGATGTGGCAAGAACTCTCAAAGAAGGAAATAAGGGCATGGTTGGTTGCCTGCTCCGGCCCTCAGCCAGGCCCTCCACATGCGAGAACAAGTGATTGTTTGGTTGGCGCAGGTATCGTAGTTGGCTCATGCGGTGAAGGAGTACGCCCCCTGCCTCCCGGGATACGAATTCTTACCCTACCCTCGGGCAAGCCCTCCACATGCAAGAACAGACAATTGTTTGGTAGGCACAACTGTCGTATCTGGCTCACGCGGTGCAAAAGGAGCACGCCAGCCTGCCTCTCGAGATACGGATTATTACTCCTACCCTCGGCCAAGCCCTCCACATGCGAGAATAGACGATTGTTTGGTTGGCACATGTGGCAGAACTGCCCAAAATAACACGTTTTTGGAGGCGCTCGTCTTCCCCTATACACTAAGCACCTCGAAAGTGAGCTATATTGGACAGTTCCGTCGAGCACACCCCAAGAGAGAACTCAAAACAATCCACATTTTACATCCAGAATCCAATAATGAGTACGAGCTTATAATACTTAGTCCATTTCATACGACAAGAGTTCTTGGAAATTATTTATTACAATACCAGAGTTCAGAGTTGTAACACCCTCGGTGTTACATTGTACTGCTTTTTGCTAAAATACTATATCAGCATCATACTTGTGTGAAAATGAGTGGAGTATCGAGTATAAAGTAATGTACATAACTTGAAACGTTCGTCGGCAACACGAAACAAATGCTACATTTCATGTCGCTTTATATCGTTTAGGGTTCTAAGTGAATTTTTATGGAACAAAAATGCTATAGAACGCTTATGCGAAACTTTGATAAAGTTCGTAGTATGAACTTCGTAGGCGACGATAAAATATGTGCGGTCGAGGACGGGGTTCGCTAGCTAGTGTATCAAGTAGCTTGGAAATGGAATTCGACGCGAAACCGTTTGAAGCTTAGTCAATTCTCGTAAGTCTGAAAATGGGTCGACGAAGCCATGTTCGACAATTTTTGTACAATGATCGGGTTAAGCACTGGCAAGATGTTTTGGCTTAGTTTGATAGCCCTATGTACCCTCTTGAGTATAGAATAACTGGTTTGGCTTTTGGATCATCGAATTGGTAGGCACAACTGTCGTATCTGGCTCATGTGGTGCAAAAGGAGCACGCCAGCCTGCCTCTTGAGATATGAATTATTACTCCTGCCCTCGGCCAGGCTCTCCACATGCGAGAATAGACAATTGTTTGGTTGGCACATGTGGTAGAACCGCCTAAAATAACATGCTTTCGGAGGCGCTCGTCTTCCCCTAGACACTAAGCACCTCGAAAGTGAGCTACATCGGACAGTTCCGTCGAGCACACCTCAAGACAGAACTCGAAACAATCCATGTTTTACATCCAGAATTTAATAATCAGTACGAGCTTACAATACTTAGTCCATTTCATACAACAAGAGTTCTTGGAAATTATTTATTACAATACCTGAAAGCTCTAGTTTGGTTTTGGTGAATTGATGAAACCCTAAGTGCTAACCTAGTTCATCAAGTGATCATGAGATAGGTAGCACACTTTAAGTAGAGAAGCAAATGAAGATCATAACATGACAATGGTGATAGCATGGAGATGATCAAGGGCTTACACTTGAAGAGAAGAAAGAGAAAAACAAAAGGCTCAAGGCAAAGGTATAAAATATAGGAGCCATTTTGTTTTAGTGATCAAGACACTTAGTGAGTGTGATCACATTTAGGATAGATAGCCGTACTATTAAGAGGAGTGTAACTCGTATCGAAATGCGGTTATCAAAGTGCCACTAGATGCTCTAACTCATTGCATATGCATTTAGGATCTAGTGGAGTGCTAACACCCTTGAAAATATTTGTGAAAATATGCTAACACATGTGCACAAGGTGTTTGCAAGGTTGAGATGGGTTTGGGTCCTCTCTCCTCCCGCCGAAAGCTTATGAGACAGGATTCGCGCTTTCGGGAAAATGAAATGTCTATTTTCTATTGCGCCGATGCAAAATTCTTGGTGGTTGGCACACTTGAGCAAGGGTGAAGAAGTAAGAGTTGAAATGGAGTTGATCGAAATGATGTCAAGCGTCGGTCCTGTGACCGGACGCTTTGAATCAGCTGCACGGACGCCGATCGCTGCGTCCGGTCATGGGCTGACTTCAATGTACTGATGGCTAGGGGTTGAGCACCGACGCCGCTCTGCGTCTCGGTCAAAGGTGGGACGGACGCGTCCGTCGTCGAAAAACATGCCTCGTGGAGCTTCTTCGAAACGATCAACATCGGGCTTCAGCGTCCGGCCGGTTTTTACTGGAAAGGTCTGTCACTTTCGCGACCGTTGAAATCTCGACGAACAACATTTAAAGCGGGGACACGTGGCGTGAATCACGTGACCGGACGCCGAGGGCCGTCGTCCGGCCGATCGGACCGAGCGTCCGGTCACCCAGCGTTAATGCCCAGTGAGAAGGGGTACAACGGCTCTATTTCATTGGGGCTCTATTTATAGCCCCATGGCCGCTCAAGAGAGCTCTCTTGCACATTTTCATTGACATAGCAACCTTGTGAGCCTAGCCAAAGCCCTCCCACTCATCTACATCATTGATTCATCATCATAGTGAGATTGGGAGTGAATCCAAGTGCATTGCTTGAGTGATTGCATCTAGAGGCACTTGGTGATTGTGTTTCATTTGCTGATTTCGCTTGTTACTCTTGGTGGTTGCCGCCATCTAGACGGCTTGGAGCAGCAAGGATCGTTGAGTGGAGGAGGTGATTGTCTCCGACTCCGATCGTGGTGATTGTGAGGGTTCTTGACCTTTCCGGCGGAGCGCCAAAAGGTACTCTAGTAAATTGCTTGTGGCTTGTGTGATCCTCATCTTGTGTTGGTTGTGCGGCACTCTATTGAGGGTTTGGCGAGTGATGCCAATCAAGCGTGAACCTCCAAGTGAGTGAATCGCCACAACGAGGACTAGCTTGTCGGCAAGCAAGTGAACCTCGGTAAAATCATTGTGTTCATCATTGATTCCGAGGTGATTGGTCATCATTGTTATTCATCTTCGTGATTGATTGGTTCATTCATCTACACGGCGGTATAACCCTCTTGATCACTCTCTTTACTTTACCGCAAACTAGTTGACAAGCTCTTTAGTGTAGCTAGTTGTGAGAGCTTGCATGCTTGGTTGGTGTGGCTCTTTAGTTAGCCTTTGAGAGCACACTAACATAGGGTAGTGTCATTGCTCTTGTGTGAATTGACACTATCTAAACTAGAATTGTGGTAGGTGGCTTGCATTTTTGAGTAGGCTAGCGCAACACTAGCTTCGCCTCATAATTGTCTAACCATTTGGTTAAGTGTTGTTGTAGAAATTTTTATTAGGCTATTCACCCCCCCTCTAGCCATTAGGACCTTTCAATACCAGAGTTCAGAGTGCGATCATTAAACAGCGGAATGAAA